AAAAAAAAAAAAAAAAAAAAGGAAAGAAAAGAAAACATGAATGCGGCTGCACCCTTTTTTCCCTTTTCCTTTTTTTAACTACAGCTATCTCCGAGTCTTGATGTTCCGATGCACATTTCCACAACATATCAGAAAAATCAAACCGCACTGCCAGCCATTCTGGTCTGGTAGCTCCGTTACACCGTTCATCAGAAACTTGCGGTGGCAAACCAACTCGTCAAAATGCACCCGTGGAAGGTAATCGTGGTGCAAGAGAACATGCCCCGTCGTCACTGGTGAGTGGTTTTTAATTGTGACTTTCTTGGTGCAAAATTCTGGACAATGGGGCGCTGGATCCCTTTTCCAGCAGGTGCAGCTCCCCACTAATAGGCTGGAGCCATCAAATCTTTGCCAAGGCACAATTTGGAGGGTTCTCTTAGCACCTTCGAAATTATCGCTTGCCGCAGTGATGGTTCTAAAGAAAAGTAAAACATGATACACGAACCACCGGTACTCAAGCAAGGTGAGTCCATTAACACGTCGACATCTCCGAAGTCAAAGGAAGCTGTAAAGGACTTTTACAGGGCTCTTGCAGATGCTAACCCAGATGCAGCAGCTAACTCAGGAGCATCAGGAACAAAACCACCGCCTGGCCCTTGCAATGGGCAAGCACAACATCGCACACAACTTTTTCCGAGTACGCAGTGGTACTCGCAGGAGCAATGACAACAGCTTTTTCAGCAAGAACAGTGAAAGCTTCTCCCTACCCATACAATAACACACCCACAGACACACTCGCAACCGCCACAGCAGCAGCAGCAGCTGCAGAACCAGCACGAGCAGCACCTGCAGCAACAGCGCCAGTAGCAAAGGAACAGCAACAACAGCAGCAGATGCTTGCTGCAATGGCCTGACCTGCAACAATGCCTGCAGCTCCAGCAACCACTGCAGCCGCAAACACAACATCAATCCCAGCAGCACCAGCACCAGCAGCAGCAGCACCTGACAAAACCAGCAATAGCAACAATGGCGGCAACATTGGCCACAGAGGCAGAAACAGCTGCAGCTGGAACAATCTGATCTGCAACAACACCCTCAGCTCCAACAGCTACTGCAACAACAAACAGAGTATCAGTCCCAGAAGCAGCAACAGCAGCAGCAGCACCTGATAACAGCAGCAACATCATCCACAGAGGCAGCAACAGCTGCAGCTGGACCAGTCTGATCTGCAACAACACCCTCAGCTCCGACAACTACTGCAACAACAAACACAACATCAGTCCCAGCAGCAGCAACAGCAACAGCAACAGCGACAGCAGCACCTACAACGACAGCAATAGCAAAAACAGCAACAACAACAACAGATTGCCCCCTCGACAGCAACAACCACATCAGCATCTGCAACAGAGGCAGCAACATCTGCAGGTGAAACAGCCTGATCTGCAATAACACCCGCAGCTCCAGCAACTACTGCAACAGCTACCACAACATAAATCCAGCCGCAGCAACAGCTTGCACAACCTGCAACGTGCACAGCTACAGAAGCAGATAGATGCAACAGCAATACTGGCAGTAGTATCAACATTCACAGTACCCTCAGCTTCACATGTGGCCTTTACAGCAGAAACAGCAGTAGTCACCATTTCACCAATCATTGATATGGAAGGGATAAACAAAGCAACCTTTGAAACCAGTCCAAGAGCAGCAGACAAAAAACCGACAACAACCAGAAGGGCAAGTATTCATACAGCAAGAGTAAGCATTGCAACACCAGAACGCGCCCCCCCTCCCCCCCGCCCCCCCAACCATAACAACAACAGGTGCAACCCTCTACTCTTCCAGCAGCTCAGCCTCAACAAATGATGCGGGACCACCACAGCTTAACGATGATGATTCAAAATCCCGTATACAACCTTGAGAACTAACCAAGAAAGAAGGAAGCAATTGAGACTCAGGGTCACTAGAGAATAATTGTGAGGGGGGGATCAAGTGGCGAGCTGGAAAGAAGGGCACAGGTAAACAAAATCATTCTGGAGGTCGTGGGTTCAATCCCCCACGGCCGCCTGCAGCGTGCTTGGAGTTACACCAGCCGAGGCAGTTGGCTCCCGCCCCCTAACTGGTCTTGGTAGGTCCTGCCATTTCTTGCCGACGGTTAGATATCAGCCTCTGCTAGTTGCTCCCTTCTGTGGGTTTAGTCAGGTAGTTAGGTGGTGAGAGGTATATTTCGAGAGAAGAATATAGTGTAAGGACCTGCAAAATCATTGACTGAGAACTCTGCTGAGTTCTGAGTTCCGCCACTGGAATGTGTGACTTGCTGAGATTCCCTCTTTCTGATGAGATTTCTATGTCTGTGTGTGAGTGTGCGTGCTGGTTGTCGTGTGGTTCTCTGAGTGCATGATTGCTTGGGGGTGTGTGTGACCCGCCAGGGTACTTGTATACTTGGAAGGCCCTCGGGCCTGGTACTTACCTGTGGTCGTGGCATTGTGGGTTGCAGCGGGGTGTAGCGTTAGGCTAGGCCCTTGCAGTTGGAAAACGCTCAAGTAGGAGGTAGGTCAGGCCAGCGTGAATAGGAAAATACTTTAGTGGGTAGGTACACAGAAGAGGACAAGAAGTTAGTACCTTATGAGGCCAAATGCCAAATGAATTTTAGAAGTCCGGTGGGCTTAGGTCTAGGGGTACAGGTCAAGTAGTCTGACTTTAGGGCCTGCAGCAGACGATATCAGACCTGCCATGATGTTTCCCTCCGAAAGGAGGAAGGTACCGGATGCTTGAGAGGCTGAGCAGCCTGGAAATACACCGCCCAAGAGGCAAGCTGCCCGCTATATCTTCCGGAAGAGCATCGGGCTCTTCCCCATTTTGCGGTGTGCAAGTTTGGTGTCATGCTGCCGGAGCGAGTGGTTGGCCAGTCCAGCGCTGGGGCGGAAGAAGGCGTCCTGGCGCTCCAGCTCCAGCTACGGAAGAGCAGCCCAGGTAGGAGGAGGAGGAAGAGGTGGGCAAGGAGGAGAGGACGGGGTACTTACATGGCTATCGTGGGCGGCATCTTCATCGTCTTGGTTGGCGCTGCACCTGGAAGGCCCAAGTGGGGGTGTGCTGCTTCAAGGAAGACTTCAGGGCAGAGTTAGGCGTAGCGGCCATAGTAGAAGGGAATATCAGCTTTGCGCTGTCCTTTCAACATCGGGGCAAGGCCCCATTAGTCCTCCATAGCCACTTATCATAGACAGGAGGTGGAAGGTGAAGGTCAGTGGCTCTAGTGGACCTCATGTATTGCTGGCAGTAAGCAGGAGATTCGGATTGTGGTTCTTTTCTTTTTTTTTTTTTAACTAAGCTATTGTGAAACGGTATTCACCAGTTCGAAGTAGCTGATGCAGATCCCAGGGCTCGATCCCTAGTTCCCCAACTTACCTGTGTACAATACCTGTGTCAACTCGAATAATTGAACCTGCGACCTGTAGAACCGCCAGTGGTAAGTAGGTCTATCGTAGGTCTATAGGTAGCCAGGATTCGATCTGTAGACCTGTAGATTAGAAGTTATGCAGTCCTTCTAGAAGGTTGGCAAGTGGTCAAGTGGTGCAGGCAAGTGGGCAAGTGGTGTGACTAAAGCAAGCCCATGTTGGAGACGAGGACAAGTGGCAAGGGCAAATAGTAGGACCCCAGTGCAACTGCACTGCGTCGTAGGGTAGTCGCCATGCAGTCATGGGAGAGTCTAGAAAGTACCAGTCTGGTCCAGCAAGTACCACGGGGGGGACTGTGTGCACCATGGGCCAGGGATACAGGGYAGACCAACGCAGCRCAGAAGTATAAATCAAGAGGCTGCGTCCAGCCATTCATTCATTCCTGCGGATGCCATGCGGAAGCGCTGCCTTAGCAGCTTGTGCGAGGAGGTCTGCAGTGTGCCCGAAGACGAAGTGGGCAGAGAAGTGTAGTGTAGCGATAGGTAGTGGCAGCTAGCGCTGCCATAGCTGTAGCATAGCGTGTGTGTGTGTTGCGTATGATACTGAGTGTTGCGTGTGGGACATCCAGGGTGATCCAGAGTGCGAACAGTGAGTTGTGTGGGCGCCCAGTCGCCATAGCCAGTTGAAGAGAACTCATATCTGGTTACGATATCTTAAGTACTGTCAGGGCGCATGTCGCCAGTTGCTGTATCGCTGTTTGCATGCAAGACAAGTGTGAATAATCGGAGTGTGGATGCAATTGCAGCCCTGGAGTGCCCTGGGCGTTATGAATTGACACCGACCTCCGCCCGTGTCTAAGCACTGCTGCAATTCCCTAAAACCTTTTTCTTTTTTTTTTTTCTTTTTTTTTTYTTTTTTCTAAACAGGAAAACCGAAGCTTTTTCATAGACAATTCACAACGAGTTAGAAACGTTGACGTCAACACCTGACCTAGTTCAGTTCGTTCGCCTGAAATGCAGATCTGAGTTGGCGCGAGCCAGAAGGTAGACAAGACACCTCCCAACCAACCAGGAGAGGTAAGCCAACTAGCTCAGCTGGTGAATCTGAAGCGTGCCAAAGGGGGCCGCAGGAGATTGAGATGGACGACGCGGGAAAGAAACCGACGACCTCCTGAATGCCACTTACGTGCTCTACCAACTGAGCTAGGCCGTATGATTGTGGCTATTTCGAAGTGCAATGACGCAAAGAAAGACATTGCTGTTCAATTGCAACTGAAATGAAAGAACTTGGAAAGAGAACTAGACAAAGGAAGAAGAAGAATAAAGAATAGAAGAGGAAGACGAAGAAGAAGAATATGTACACCAGCAAAGACCAATGTCAAATCCCCCCCCAACTCGCCATCACCTTCAAATTCCTTATCTCCCCCAACCTCGGATTCTGGTTCTGGTTCATTCTTTCATTGTTATTATTATTTTTTATTGTTTTGAAGTGGTTGGGTGAGATAAGGAGGTTGAAGCTGATGGTGAGTTGGAGGGGGATCTGACATTGGTCTTTGCTGGTGTTCATCTTCTTGTTCTTCTTCTTCCATTCTTTATTCTTCTTCTTCCTTTGTCTATTTCTCTTTCCAAGTTCTTTCATTTCAGTTGCAATTGAAAGGCGCTGTCTTTCTTTGTGTCGTTGCACTTCGAAATAGCCAGGATCATAACAATAGCTTAGTTTATCAAAACAAAAAAAAATAAAAAAATCATCCCACGGCCTCCCGACGGTTCCGCACCCAAGCAGGGATCTGGAAGAAATTAATGAATAGATAGGACTCTCTGACCGACCGAATGTGATGGTGGTATTTCATCAAGAGAAGGTGATAGACAATCATGGACCTAATGGGGCTAAGAGCATACTCACACTAGAACTTCCTTGCATGTCTCAACAAGAATGCGTGCGGAAAACAGGCGCCGTACAGTCAGATCACAATTGATCATCCCTTTACTCAGAAGCTGTGCGGGGATCAGGCCTGGCGACAGAAATGAGTATAATAACCTTCCACTGACGGGTTTAAACCCCCAGTATGTGGCACATACATCGGCCACAGGCCCTTTTTGCATGCGCGCCGCAACGTCCGGGGCCTCGCCGCCTTTAATAAATTTCATCAACGGCCATTTTCGCATTTGCGACCTCCGAAGGTCTCGGTGAGGGGCCCGCAGACGATGTATGGGCCTAGTACTGGTGGTTGAACAGGCAAGTTTGAGCAACCCAATCACCGCTTATTGAGCAGGATGGGACCCCAAAGCCAGTAGGAACAGCCTGGGTGCCAGTACCACCAATCTGCAGGTCATCCCCCAAGGGGTCGCAATTTATGGCATTCAGTGCTCAAGAGAACCCAAATTCACACTAAGCCCCCACCCCMCCCCACCCCMATTCCATGTGGATAAGAATCCCCATCCAAAGGTAAGGCTGCAGAAAACATTACAGCTATTGGCAATTAATTTCTGGCGAACTGATGATCGCAGATGAAATGACAACCATCCTCTCCCTAATAGAATGCCCGGTCATTATTCGCTGTATTTGCACCAACTTTCAGTCAGGATAGCACGATAATGACTGGATGTTCTATTCAGGTGAAGAGAGCAGGAGGATGACTAGCACTGGGGATTCTGGTTTTCCGACACAGATCTACATCACTGTCCTCGACGCTAATATCACCCTGCAGAACGAGATTGAACTGCGGGAGCCCTGGGGCCATGTCCCACTTGTCGAGGTCTAGTTCCGGTTTTGAGTATACATGGCTCGCTGCCATCCGACTCGGATCTGAAAATTTCACGGCGACAGTGTGACCACGCTAAGGCATGCATGAAACATAAACTAAACCCCGGCTAGTGGGACATGACCCCTGGTATCAGATGTTTTTTGCTGGACTGGCTGTTACCGGAAAATCAGACCTATCAACAATCACGATGACCGATTTCAAGCAACTGGCCTAGCTCTTCTTCTTCTTCTTTTCTTTTTGTTTTCTCTTTTTAACATTCTGCCCGCGACAACAGATAGGTGTGATGGTAAAAGCAT